GAATATAAAGGGACAGAAAGAAGCTGTTGCTTGTTGGCTGTTTCTGCTTCTGCTGGTAGTTGTTGCCTGTGGTGGGCTCTACACCATGGACTGTTTCTCTTCTGTGATGTCCCTCTGCTATGCCACCCTGCTTTGGAACCAGCTGATATGGATTGAAACCTCTACAAACTGTGAGCTGAAATAAACTTTTCCCACTCTAGCTTTGGGTGTTGAATATTTTGTCTCAGCAAAACAAAAAGTATCTCAGGCAGTAGTCCTGCTAGTAACAATTCCTTTTGTGATTCTTAGACAGACCCTTGGTTTTATTAGAATTTTTTCTTAAGTACTAGATTTTCAACCCAGGGTCTCACACTGAGCTACATCTCTAGCTCTTTTAATTTTTTGTTTTTGTTTTCAGACATCATCTTGCTAAGTTGTTCAGGATGGTCTCAAACTTGGTGATCCTCCTGCCTTAACCTCCAGTAATTGTGACTATAGTTGTGTACCACTGTACCTAGGTTTCTCTTGGTTTTAATACCCCAAGAGGAATCAGGTTGAGTGATTGAAGGTAACCCTGGAATACATGTGGTTTGTATTGTCATTTGGATTCCAACCCATGTTGCTTCTCAGGTCATTTTAATACAGAAGGCACAGGACAGTGACATGCAGGATAAGAAGATAAACAGATTGAGAACAGGGAGTCTTACCCTAGTTCTTTACCAATTCTCTGTAACCTGTGAGTCAATTCTTACTGCCCACATTTTTCAGAGGAAAATTTTTAAAGGAGAAATAAAGATGGACTAATAGGTAATATTTTCATATTGCTTTGGCACCACTGACAAAACTCAGTAATTAGTTTCTTTATGTTATCAAATATGATAACATATTTGATAACATATTTGAATATCTCACTTGTTTACATGAATGTATATACTTAAGGAAATTTTCACAACATTATAAATGGAAAATTGGTTGTATTTGATATTAGGAGAACTGTAGTACTTACCAAAATAAAGTCCTCAAAGCAATGTTGTTAAATTTAAATTTTTCAGCAATAAACAATGAAATATGCATACAATATTGTTTATTCATTTAATGTTGTACTAAACACTGTATGACTTCATTTAATCCTTCAAAATAAATATTCCCATTTTACAGATAATTAAACTGAGGCAAAGAGAAGTTTAGTTTACTTGCCCAAGTTCACCAGCTAGTATGTGGCAGAGCCAGAATGCAAACTTAGGTCTGTTTGACACCAAGGCCCAGAAAGGCATCACTATAGGTAGATGTTCAACTTAATATCCCACAAATCCCTTTCAGAGTGGACACCTTTAGCCATTGCTCTCAATCTGTCTCCTTGCCTGCTGTCATTCAGTTGCACATTTGACAGACTTTACCCCAGAGCAGGGCTAGCAGCGTACTTTGCAAAATGAAAATTCAGGCTGCTTTGTTAGAGATACAGTGCAGATTTCAAGGTGTTGATAGCAGAACATTAAGCCAAGCATGTATTCCATCTAAGAGAAGGGGCCCTGTACAGCTGCATAGACCACATGGTCATGAATCCCTCTAAATTCAATCTGGTTTTTCTGTTTCTTTGAAGTGTTAGAGTATTAGTCTTTATTTTTTGGAACAGGAAAATTAAAAAAAAACAATAATTTGTGACAGGGAAACATAATTAGTTCTTTACCATTATTCTGCTGCTATTTAAGGAAGCTGACTCCTAATAATGTTTTATTTGCTGAGCATGGTAATGAATGGAAGGATGCAAATTAGAGGCCAAGAGGATGAAATTATTCTGCATATGAAAAATGATGGAAGAGAAGTAAGAGGCTGTAGGCTGCTTGGCTGGAGAGGAAGATCTGAGAAAAACATTTGTGTGCTGGATGGCTGATGGGAGACTTAGAAGAGGGGGAATGAAGGAAAGGAGACAGTACCCTGGGGAAGGAAAGACAAGGATGTTTAAGGAGACTTTATAATGGTTTGCCATATGGAAAATGATGTCACCTTTGGGTTAAGTTTGATACACTATTATATTATCTACAATTTTAAATAAGTACATAAATAGAAAAAGTTACTATATCTGTAGGTATTCATCTGTATTTCATCAAAAATTCGCATGTACGATTAGTGGTACTCATGTCCAATTTTGAGAAATAGTGTTCAAGTTACTTTATATATAATTGTGTTTTACAGTAGAGAATAAACAAGAGGTAGAAAGCAGGTTAAATATGATCAAGACTTGTTCACACCACCACAGGTTATGCTTATATGATTGAAAATATTTTCTTTTTTTTTTGTCTTTTTGAGACAGAGTCTCGCTATGCAATTCAGGCTGACCTTGAGCTCACTTTGTAGCCCAGGCTGGCCTGGAACTCACAATGATCCTCCTGCCTCAGCCTCCCGAGTGCTGGGATTACAGGCGTGTGCCACCACGCCCAGTGAGTGAAAATTTTTAATTGCCTCTTCCATTTCAAATACCCATTGAAATAACTGAAAGACTTATAATGGCAAAAGCCATTTAAGGAAAACCTTAAAGATTGCCATTTGCTATCTGTATGGCAGGAACTTGGAGGGTTCTTTGAAAGAATGAGGCCAGACAAGACTGACAGAAGTCCCAACAACCTGTGTTTCCCCTCAGATTTAGGGAGGCTGGAGATCAGGGCCCTCTGAACTAACGTCGAAGTTGGGGGATTAGTCTGTGTACTTGAGGAACTACAGAGAAGACACCACAAGGGAGACTCCAGCTTCAATGTGACGCTGCCAGCCAGCACTTCAGATGGTGCTGAATCACGTGGCAACAAATACAGGGAAGGGAGGGAGCACTGAGCAAACAAAGGGGAGTGCAGACAAAGATCCTGTCAAGGCTTGTTTTAACTAATGAGTTAAAACTGAAACAACACAAAATTTGAAATAAGCTATGGTTAGAGAAATAGTTTTTTTTTTATTTAATAAAGAATATCTGCCTTATATCAGCCGCTCACATTATACAAGTGAGGAAAGACTCAAGAATGCCCATTATCATGCCTGTTATTCAGCATAGCTTTGGAAATTCCAGGTTGTACAATGACAGAAGAAAGATGAGCTGTTAATATTGGAAAGAAAGGAAACAAAACTGTGTATTTAGTGATGATATGACTGTCTATCTGGAATGAAAATAAGAACTAACAGAAGTCAAGTTATAGAATAGGTTAGAAAAGTACATGAAAAATTAATAGCTCTTCTGTACCAGTTATCAGCTAGAAAATATAAAATTGACCAAAGTTACGTAACAAAAAATATTTATGATACCTGAGAAGAAATATGAGAAAAATGTAGGACCTGTGTGACTACAACTATAAAGCCTTATACAGAGTCATGCGATGAGATGAATAAATGGGGAAATGAAACAGTTCTTAAGTGAGAAAATTTTATAAGGTCATCAGTTCTTTCTAAATGACTATAATTGAATTCTTGCCTGGCATAAAGGACATACGATAAACAGCTTTTGAATGAATACTAAGTAAATGAACATAATTACAATAAACATTTTTTAGGTTTTTTGACTTAAAAATAGTCCTAAAGTTTATTTAAAAACTTTTTCATCTTGATAAGTAAAATTTTGATAACAGACTACTAATGAAATAGTTGTCAGATAAGTTATTAAAATATAACCTAAGATAAATTATAACAGTAGTATTGTGCATCAGCATATACAAATGTGAAACAAAAAGTCAAGACAGATTTATATAGACTTAGAATATGACGACATAATAGGTAGAAAACAGTGGCTTTTGTTTGGTTTATTCAAGAATTACTCCAGCATCTTTAGCTTCTGTGGCCACACAATTGTACCATTTTTGTCTCTACAGTTCCTTAAATAACTTTTTTTTGCTTTTGCTTTAGCTCACAATATCATATTTACTTTTTATGAGGATTTGGAAGAGAGTAACTTGAAGTCTGCAAATATAAACACATTATAAGGAGAGGGATTTGAATCAGTAGGTGCTGTATACATGTGTTGAAATATCACATTGTACTCAATATGTACAATTAATATGCATTAATAAAAGTATAAAGGATAGATTTAGTAAATAGTATTTGGAGAGCTGGAAAAATGTATCTTTACTTCATAATATGCTCCCAAAGATACAGCAGGATAGAGATTTTAAGAAGTGAAATCACAAAAGTGGTAGATGGTATACAGTGTAGAATGTCTCTGTAAACATCACTTGAAAATCAGAAATAATAAAATAGATGATACAAATTATTACATAAAGATTTAAAACTTCAGAACCTTCCCAAATACTATAGCAAATGCAAAGTAATGATTACCTTGAAAAAATATTTGTAACGTGTTCCAGATTAAGGTTTAAATTCCTTATTATGCACAAATGTATGCAGGATGTAAGCGCATTTTTTACTAAATGTACAAATTAAAATTTTTTTTCTCTTATATAGAAGGGAATTGTGCAAATAAGACTAAAAACAGGTTCTTTGAAGTAGTGAGAAAGAAGGGTAAGAAGGATTTACTGTATGTGTATAAGGAGGTCAACATATTTGTGAAGAGGTTCTGTGATGGATTGTTTTTTATTTTATTTTATTTTATTTTTTGGTTTTTCTCTGGTACCGGGAATCGAACTCACGATGTTGCGCTAGCCAGGTAGGCGCTGTGCCACTGAGCTAAATCCCCAGCCCCAGGATTGTGATTTAATTGGAACACATATTGTTTCCAGTTTGTCAATTGGTGTACCTCTAACATCAGAGCTGTTTGTCCGAGGCAAGTGTACTAATGTAAATCAGTTTGCAGGGCAACAGTGGAATTTGTCAACCTATAGTTTTATGTGTACATTTAATACTTTTTTAGTTTCAAAGAAGAATCACATTCTGATTATGAATAATACCTAAGCTATTATAAGATTAAAATATAGAATGTATCAGCTACTAGACTTTTCATAATTAAGCAAAGTTTGTTACTATTACAAGGTTGTTTAAAATGATGAATACTTTTTATGCTGAGATTAATAATTTTATTTCTTCTTCAGGACTTACGGAATCGGTATCTCCAACTGAAGTTACCCCAGGGGAAGTTAATGGCCAGTCTCTGAAAAAAACACTTATGGAAATCCTGTACAAGTTTTTCTTTCCAACAAGTATGTTTTTGTTTGATTTTTTTCATCCCCTCTTAATGTCCTTGTTTTAAAAACAGTGTTTAAATATTTATAAGGAAGCCTGGTGCATCAGCATTGAAATGGGACAGACCTGAGTTTGAATCCTGACTCTGCCCATTGCCTTAGGCAAGATAATCTCCCTGAACCTCAGTGTCTACATCTCTAAAATCAAGGTATTTTCCACAAAAAATTGTGAGGGTGAACCAAGACAGTATTTACAAAGCGTTCCATAGATTTTTAAATTCTTTATGAAATACTTTCCTTTCACAAATATTTAATGCTTTCACAATTTTACCTAAATGGCATTGCCTGCAATTTAATCACTGACCCAGTATTGTGAAGTTGATACCTTCTGTGACATTAAGCATGATATTGTATGGCATATATTATGAAATATGCCAGATGTTCTCCCATCTGTTTTAATAATAAGTCTAGGTTTTAAGTCACATAATCTTTCTGTGATTCTTGATAATGTGTTTATCAAGCATATGACGACCCTTGAGAGATTTATTAACCACAAATAAACTTGTTTCGTTTTGTATAGCATGTGGCGCCCTTTCAAGGAGAGGCTTCATATAATTTGAAGTATGTGAATTACCCAGTTAAAACTTTTATTCAAAATCATGAAGAATTTATTCCGACAAAATGTGATGTATGCATGTAAGCACAAAATTATATCCATTTTAATTCCAGACCCTAGCCCTGGATTTTTCTGTGACCTTGTATAAATCTCTTCATGTTTTTCTGGTTTCTTCAAATGTAAACTAATCATTGTACCTACTACCAATGAAAAAAAGCAAAATAAATGAGTTCTTTCAGTAAATTACTGCCATGTTCAAATTGAAAAAAGAAATCTAAGAAGCTGTTTTGTTGTATAGACAAAAAGAATTATTGAGTATCAAAGTTGGTATTAACAGTAGATCACAATTTAGAGCTTATGCATATAGCAGATATAAATGGTTACAAACTTACCTACATTACTACTTTATATAAACACTTAACCCACATTTAAAAATAATCTTTTTAAGATAACTATTTCCCCATGTTTTGCTAACCAAAACCAGTAAATTGAGTAAAAGTCAACTCTGTGAAATAAGTTTTTCCAACAAAATCTGTTCTAATAGAAGCACCTAATCTAGATCAGTTCAAATCTTTTAAAACAGAGGTTCAATATTTCTCAAGTATAGACATTGTCTTTTTTAGAGAGAATAACTACAGAATAACTAATAGGATTTTGAATGTCCCAACAGAAAGAAATGATAAATGTGTAAGGTGATAGATACACTAGCTACCCTGATCTGATCATTACACAGTGCATACATATATTGAAATATCACAGTTTACCCCACAGATGTGTAAATTATTTGTCAGTTAAAAAGATAATAACTACAGGTTCATAAAGAGTGAAACATTTTCATCACTTCTTCCTCTCAGGTAATTGAAAATGCACAGTATTATCACTTAAACATAAAAAGAGTATGTTGTTTTATCGTTATACTGTTGTTTGTGAAATACCTGTCTCTTGCAGATTAAAATAACTGAGACAGTGGCAGGGGAACTTGAGAGGTCATATGATCCTTTTTCTCTTTAGATAAAATTGTGTATCTAAAATTGATGAAGTCGCTCTGCTCTGTTTTTTAAAACTACAAGTAACAAGATAAAATACAATTATATCTTCGTAATTTGAAAGTTAGTTAAATATCTAGCATAAAGTCCATCAGATGGAGTTTATGTGTAAAATAAAAAGTTCAGCATTGGAAGAGACTGTAGAAATTATCTAGACCAGTTTCTTCCATGATTAAAACTTCGTCTTTAGCATTCCTGGCAAGTAGTACTTGAACAATGATGATGGCAATAAATCACCTCATCTCTGACTGGGTGCTGACTAATGTCACACTTTACTGGGTATGTGACACTCAGAACTAAACTGAGTACTACTTCAGATACAGTCCCTGTTGGAGGAGGTGGACCACTCTGGGCCTAGAATTGAAGAATAGACTGCTTAGAATATATAAAAACAAAGTAAGATAAACTCACATGTCTAAAATGCTTGGGAAATACCTCAGCCAACTTGTACTGCATTAAATGTGTGACCATGTACAAGTTACTTGGGTTCTTTATTTCCTTTTATTTTTTTTTGTTTGTTTTTAAGTTTTTAATTTTTGTTAGTGCATGTTGGCAGTACATAATGATTACATTCATTGTGAGGAGTCAGTATATGTATGTAACACATGTTAATTCTTACTACTTTTAAAATGGAGGTTATAAAACTCAAGTTTGGAAGTTTGCTATAAAAATTAGTAGTAATGTGTGTAAATAAAGTCGCTGGCCCAAATAGATGCCTAATGAGTTATTACCACTGCTTTTACTTTAGCTTCAGGTCTTGCTTATCTTTAAAGAACAGAAATCCTACAGAATAAAATGTACCAAGGGGTTAAATATGCTTAAAACAATTCTGTTGTTCCTTTCTGAGGTTGAAGCACTTCAGAGTGATTCTAATACATCAGTTATTACTTTTAAAAGTCTATAGTTGCTGGTGGTATAGATGATTGAACTGAATCTCTTTTGACCTTCAGACGTTCTGTAGGACGTTTTCTTTTCTGAATAAAAATCTGATATTGGCCTTTTTTATTTCTCTTACAAAAAGCAGGATCCTTTTTTTTTAAAGAAATCACCTATTTAAAGTTGGAAGTGTTTTAGATTCAGATACATGTAAGTTTATTGCAGTTGCATCAGGTCTTGGTGTTCATATCATACATTATTGGTTATTTAAAAGTATAGAATCAAAACTTTAAGGACAGGTGGAAGAATCTTAAAATATTTTCTAGTGCCTATACGATAAGTAGTCTCACCAGAAGTAGTTCAGAAACTACCATTTACCTTACTCTCCAGCAGTAAACTGTGGAGTTTTTATTTCAGCATCCTCACACATTTAGTGAATTTCTATACCTTAATAAAAGTAAATGAGAGGATATCTGTGGTATCACTTTAATGAAGTGTTGGTTTTAAAGATATTTGGCTTGTTTAACTCGTTTTGTGTTATGTTTACATTGCCACCTGTTTGAGTTGCTTTTTCATTGCTGAGACACAGTACCCAACACCCAAATTCTGAGGAGGAAAGATTTATTTTGGCCCACAGTTTGTTTTACTTCATAGTCAGCTAGCTCCAAGGCAGGGTGGCATGGCAGAGAAGCAACAACTCATGGCGTGGAAGCAGAGAGGGAGATAAGGGAGGCGGGAGGGACATAGACTGATGAGCATCATGCACTATGATTCAGTCTCTTCCCCAAATCTCCACCTATGAGCACATAGGATTTGGGGAGACATGTAGATACAAATTACGACACCACCATTCAGCTCATCATTATTGTCTTTTTATTTATTTTAATATTTTTATTATCAATGATTTGTTGACAATTTGTATTTTTCTCTAGTTCATCTAGAATTAAAAATGTGATGTTAAGTAACTGTGGTAATTTTTAACTCTTTATTTTCTTATTTTCACTCTTACTTTTCAGCCTTAGTCATTATTTGTGTGTCATTCAATCTTTTCAGTGTACCACCTGAAATATTTTTCTCCTTTTTGCATTGTGTTAATTAATTAGGCAGAGTGCTTATTAATCATGCTGAATCGTCTTCCTTGGTTTTCTGTTTCTAAAAGCCTGCACTGTAAAGGAGAACCAAGAGGTAAAGGCTTGCAACGGGCTGCTGAACCCTACTGAGTTGGAGTGTTTGACATCCAAATGCTGTTTTTCACCTGGGACCGGGACCTGCTTTATCCCATTAATAAATAGTAAGTTCATCTTCACTTATTTTCTGTTTTTAGAAATTGAGTAAACAGGTTACAGTGGTATAAGTTCACATTTGGAAATCTCAGCTTAACACTTTGAGAGAGCTCTTGGCCCTGAAGCAGTGCTGTCCTGAGGTAATCAGGCCTCTCTATTCACGAGCAGTTTCTGCTTAGTGGAGGTATTGTGACCATTCAGAATTAGTTTCACTTTTTCTTTTGTTTTAGTCACTGTCTGCCTTTTGTCTCAAGAGTTCTAGGATCAATGATGTGTAACCTTCAATGCCTGGGAAAGATACTTAGAGGTAGGAAAGGTAATGTTATGGTTTATGCCTGTGTGTCCCCTCCAAAGCCTCATGCGGCCATGGGGTAGGCTATTAGAGTTGAATGATTGTGGGTGTGAGAGCTACACCCGCCCTGGGGTGGATAGTTTGCATATGTAAGGGAGAGGAAGAAGCTGCTTGGGGACATTCCTCCCCCATTCTGCCCTGGTGTGTGCTTGCGGCTTAGCTGTGTTCTGCTGCCTGAGCTGTTGGCATGTGCCACTCTGCCTTATAATCTGCCAAGTACGGACTGAAACTTCCATGAACTGTAAGCGAAATAAACCTTTCCTTCCTTAATTTTCTGCGTCAGGTATTTTGTCCCAGCAGCGAGAAAAAAGTAACCAAGACAGGTAATAATCCCTTTCATGCTCATAAAAAGTCATGGTTGACAGCTCTATTGCAAAACTGATTAATAAGTGAAGAGCATAAGAAATTTATTTGACCATAATTTTATGTGACCCAGGAGCCATCAGATTGAATACTCAAAGATACAGGGTGAGCTGTCCATTTTTATGGTTATATTTCATCAAGTATGGACTACCATGTAGAGATATGATTGCACATAAAGAGTATGACTTAGTGCTAATAAACTTCAGTGGGGAAACTCAGCAAGGCCTGTATGCTCAGATTCTTTTCTTGAGTTTTCTGTGCATCATTCCTTCCTCCTGGGTATGAGGCAAGATCGTTTCTGAAATGGGGATCTTCTGACCTGCTTCAGACAAGAGAGTTTCTTTATGGCCAGCACTGAGACAGAAAGGTAGAAGATGATAAAAGTAATATTTTTAGGCTTATGGCTTGCTTTAGGGAAAGGGGTTTTCATTTCTATCAGCTGCCCTGCGTGAGAGAAGTTGTGATTTTTGTGTCTTTTTCTTAAGGGCAGAAGGGAGCAGGAGATAAGGCAGAAAAAGGGCAGAAAGAAGTTTTGCTTCTGAAGCCTTCATTTTGGGGTATCTTTTTTTGAGTCCCAGTAATACCAATTGGGCATGCCTCAGCTTGCTTTTCTCTTCATAGCTTCTTGAGTAGGGTTCTTCACAGTTATCTGGTCTTCAGTATCTTGGCATATAGCAGTAGACTTTTATTTTTTGTTAAGATCTGTTTAGTAAGTTTGTTTTGATGTTTTTGAATTATGATCTTAAGATTTTTTTCTTTCCAAAGTTCTGAGAACTACAGTATTTGATTTTGTTACCTTTGTTCAGATAGTGGGGACATATTATTAGCTGGTCCCATGACAGATGGATTTGATGTGAAAGGGCACTCACAAATACTATAAAAGGATGCATGTGAAGCAGTATCTTAGGTTAATACAGTCCCTATTCAATTACAGCTCTTTGTAGAACATCCAGTATTAATAAGGAAAACTAAAACCTGATCATGAATATAGTATTACAGTTTTGACATTGTCACTTGGTATTTATAATTCATCAGTTTAGTCTTTATATTATGTGTGAAGAGACATTTGGTTCTTTTAGCAGGGAAAATTGAACTGTGACTTAGAATTCCCCAATCATATTAGAATGTATTTTCCAATGAATGAGAGACTAAAATATACTTACCTACCTGCAAATTCTTGATTCCTTGTTTAAATTAATGTTTTGTAATCTGGAAGTAAACATTTAAGAAGCTATCTCTTTACCAAGTTAACTGTTCATAGATTAATTTGCTTCTCAAGTACTCTAGGACATGTAATATATGGCTACAGAAAATGCACCCTTTAGGGCATAGGGAGAAGTATATACTATGTGTCCTACTTAGGGAGCAGTAAGAATTTTCACCTGTCATATAAGAAAGTTCTCACTGTACTTTAATAACTGATAGATTTTTGTAAAGACTTTATGAAAGTGCTCATACTTGCTTCCCTTGCTTAAGTCATAAAAGTAACAGATTATAATTTAACCAACAGAGCCTGTGCAGATGATCCGGCTATTTGGGCTTTGTATGAGCAGCTTGTTACTCCTGGGAAGTCTGCCCATTTGTTGCTGCTGTCTTTGGCAGAGGAGGTAGGCAAACATTAACTTCTATTTGTTAATTTCTGATTATATGTAGATATTTGTGTGTAGACACATTTCTTGAGATGATTCTGAAATAGAAGAATTACGTTTAGGATCCTTTTGTTGAAAGGAAGGTGGTTTGGAAAAATCTTAAATGGAATTACCATATTGGTGTTGTGTTCTGTTTACTTTTGGGGTACTAGGAATTGGACCCAGGGCCTTTGCATTGAGCTATTTTCCCAGTCTTTTTTATTTCTTATTTGCAGTCAGAGTCTTGCTAAGTGACTGAATTACTGAGGCTGGGCTTAAATTTGGGAATTTGTAATCTTAGAGTGCTACAGGTGTGTGCCTTGACACCAGGCAAGTGATAGTAATATTTTTTTAAAGCATGTTATTTTACTTTCCCCCAAATTCAGGACATCCTCTTGCATAAAGCCTGTAAATCTCCTCATCAAACAAAACCTAAAGTAGAAAGAATGATAAATCAGCAAACTGGAGGTGTGTGGCTTGTGGGTGGCTATTAAGCTAATATCAGAGAGATTCCTGAGAGTGTTACGTTCCATTGTGTCATTTGCCATTTCTGCTGTTCTTGCCACTGTTACCGTACTGGGATGGAACCAAAGGCCAGGTGCCTGCTAAGCAAATGCTCTGTCACTGAACTGCATCTTCAGTGCTTTTAATTTTGTTTTCAGTTTTGATACAGGGTCTTGCTGAATTGCCCAGGCTGTCCTTGAAATTGTCATCTTGCTTTAACCGTTTGAGTAGCTGGGATGATATGCATGCACTACTATGTCTGGCTTGCCATTGGTCTTTAATGGTCTTCTACCATTGAGTCTTTTTTTAATTTTAAAGAAAAAAAAAAAAAACAAAAAAATTCCAAAACAATGTGATAGGAGGGTAACAATGGTTAATACATTGTGTATTGTTATATTTAAATTAGTTAAGAGTAGAAGATATCAGCATTTAATTGTCCAAACAACATTAGCACAAACCTAAGTTTTCAATGAACTAAGAGAAATTAGTACCATAGCTATCTTAACTATCTTGTATATGTACCTACCATTGAGTCTTTAACACCTTGGTTTGCCTTCAAGCCCAAGTTGTGCAGGATATCTTCTTGGGGTCTTACATAAAGTACCAGTGGACTACTATCTTGATGTTTCCAAATTTGTTTATTCTTAATACAGTGTCTCCCCAGCTACTGGGACAGAGTGGGTGTGGAGTTCCAGAGCAGAGCCAGGATGAGAGTAAGAGGTGTGAGGCACTTGGGGCACAAACACTGAGGATAAATCCACTGTCAGGTTTGTGCAGGTGCAGGGTGAGCACTGCCACAACCCTGACTATAAGCACTTCTGTAAGTTCTCTGGGAATTTAACAGAGAATGTGCCTGTTGAAGATTAAGCGTCTTTGACCTTTATTGAGGTTAATGGAAAAATACTTGAGCTACCAAAAATTGATTAGGTTTCACTATAAGATTTAGACTATATACATTACCTTATTTTCCATAAGATCATTAGGTCTTTGTTTACATCAATTTAATAACCCATTGTGGGTTTTCTGACTTTTATTAGTAATGTTTGCAGTGCATAGTAATTACACTCACTGTAGGGAATTGGTAACTATACATAACACATTTCAATTCTTTCCTTTCGCTTCCCTCTACCTCTTTTTATATTTCCAGCATCAGATTAATTTCTTCATAAGACCTTATAAAGTTATCATATTTACAGTTTGAAAAGCAGAGTAGTAAGCCAAAGAGCATATACAACATGTAAGACAACTGTACTAAGTCCTAAGTCAGGGTACTTTCAGATACATTGTCCATGCTGGATTATAATACCTTTTTTCTCTTTTTTTCCTATTACTGTCTTTTTACTTACATACATACGTACATACATACATGAGAAGAAAGAGAGTGAGTTGTTTTTGTATAAGAGAAACCATGCAATATTTAAGCTTGTGTGTCTGAGTTACTTCACTTAACATTATGGTCTCAAGTTGCATCCATTTTCCTACAAATGACTCAAGTTTATCCTTCTTTATGGTAGAGTAGTACCACATTGTGTATAAATACCAAATTTTCTTTATCCTTTCATCTGTTGAAGTAATAAACTATTTTGAATCCACTGTTGGGTTATAGCATTTCAGCCACTCCAGTTTGTATATGACAACTTTGTTTCAGATTTTAGTGAACTTTCTAGTCTGAGAGAATAATATCTGTTCCTCCGCTTTTTCTCTTTTTTTTTCCTTTCCCAAGTGATTGGGAGTCAGAGTAGGATTTTTGAGCCTTTTTCCCTTAAAGTTTGTTTGCACATTAAAATTGCCTATAAATAAAAGTGAAATATTTCCTAGAATTTGGTGGCTGACATGCCATGCAATTAAGATTGGGATAATAAGCTTGGCATAATAATTTCATCATGGCTCCAGTGTAATGTCTCTGTGAACAAGGTTTACGGGGATGTTTAGGTCCACTGGATTTTTTCCATTAAATGAAATCCAAAGGATTATCCCGATAAGAATATATTTTATTTTTTCTATATAATACAAATCACTTTAGTGATATAAACTCTGTGAGCAGGTATATATATTGAATAGCATGTATTTTGGTTTACTATGTTTTGTTTATTTTGCTTTTTTGTGTAGGAGCAGTATATTTTTTCTGTCATCTTGAGCTGCTTGACGAGATCCTGGAGCAGGTGACACTTTCAGCTTGACATTCAGCTCAGTTACCAAGAACAGTGGCTGAGGGTAGATAGGTCAGTGTGAGCCTTTTGCAGTAAACTGATTTTAGAGGCAAGGATGGTATGATAATGGAGATCCTATCCTTGATACTGAACAAGGAGCTAAGTAGAGCCAAAAGGCTGTTAAACTCCCCTTGAATGGGACAAGATATCTCCTGATGCCAGTCCCTTAACTCACTTCCTGTTCTTTATTTCAGACAAAAACAGAGGTAGATAAAATTTTAGAGTAGGTAAAATAATGCCATAAAAGATACATACATGCTGTAGTAAAATAAATATATGGCAGTTAAAAAAGGAAAAGAAAGACTCATGTGGTGGTGCATGCTCTGGGAGACTGAGAAAGATTTTAAGATTGAACCCCATATGGCAACTTGGCAATACCCTGTCTCAAAATAAAATAAATACATAAAAACTAAAAAGGGCTAGAGCTGTAGCTTAGTGTGAAGGCCCTAGACTTAAGCCCCAGTACTGGAGAAAAAAGGAAAATAAAGAAGCCAGATGGCTGTTTGTCTAAATTAGAGGACCTAAAAGCTAGAGGCAGATTTACAGTACCATGATCTGAGTCTCTGTTGGCATTGGAAGGTACCTATATGTCTCTTCTGCCAGGTTCTGTCTTTCAATACTTGAGCATGCCATGAGGAGAATCCCAGTGTAGTTGTCCTCTTGGCCTTCCGTTGCAAGCCCCCAAACAAGGGAGGTCGCAAATCCCTCTGCAGTTTGCACAGTGCCTTTTATTTACAGATCACCTAAAGAAATAGCAACCGGCAAGAGTTGGAGAGATGGAAAATGAGAAGTAATTTGAGCAGATGGGAGAGATGAAAACATTTCCTAGAACCAAATGTACTTCACTATTTTGGTGACTCTTTCATCCTTTCCTCAGTTGACCATATTCATTTAGTATGTGCTTGTCCTAGGTAAGGTAGAGGATACAGAAGTCCTACTTTTAAGAAGCTTAAATCTACATTAAGCAAATCTCAAACCTGACACTTTTAGATAACAATTTAAGATGGACTATAAATAAGGACTGAAATGAGTGGCAGCAGTCGCTTACACAAGTTTTTAAGCATTGGCAATCAGGGTGAGTGGGAGAGGGCAGGCAGGTTCTGTGGTAGAGGTGCTGTTTGATCTGGAGTTTGAAGGGAGGAGAATATTTGAGTTGGACGAAGAGGGACCTTTCCACAGAATTCATTACATTCAAATATGCATCTTCTAACAATAGACCCCTTAACTGCCTGTCATTTCTAAGGAGAAGTGGCTGAAGTTTATCCCTGGAATAATATCTCACTGAATCTCTAGTTTACTGTAGTGGACTTGAATTCAGATGTGGTACGAACTTAAGCACACAGTGAACTCAAGGTGATGTGAGCTGGTTGTGCATATGCAAAAGGGAAGAGAGAGCATAAGTGAAAAGCTTTCTAAGAATTTGCCACTAATAACTTCATTAAACTTGTGTACAAGATGTGTTTTGAAATTCATGGCACCCTCAAGGTTACATACGTTCTATTTTTACCTTCATTAATAGGGATCAGAAGCTTCATTAGGTTTAAGTGTCACTGATGGGCTTAAGATTTACTTAGAGAAGGAAGGAAAAGATCAGATGGATGGGGACAAAAGGAAGCAGAGGATTAGGGTTCTAGGGAGAGGGAGGTGAAGGAGAGTGGCTAAATTGTTCTTATTACAGCAATAGAGTGCCATTGACAGTGGACTCAGATGATAAATTTACTTTCTAATCTTTTTCTGCTTCTAGATAACATTTAAGTCGGGATACATATGCCGGTTAAACATCTGTGTATTACATAGGGATATGCCACTTGTATGTGTGCATAGCCTTGGTAAGGTAGTACAACTCAAACATTATAATACACATCATCTGTTAAACTCAGATGATGTGCGTTTTCACGCTCTTCTACCAGATTGAATTTGTAACTCTGAATTTAGAAAAATTCAAAACCTAGTCTGAAAATTTAAAAAACAGTTTTCTTTTGACTAATAAAAAAGCCATGGTTTTTAAGACTGTAGACAGATAATATAAAAAGTGCATTTCCCATACACTTTTCAATGTTGCTGCTTTCCAGATGGCTGTTACTGAAAATTTCTTCCTTTACACAAACTGCTGCATGATTCTCTGTATTATAATGTGCTTTTCATTATTTTTTTGTGCTTTTCATTATGCTGGTGGTCTTAAAGCTACTTATTTTTTGAGAATAGCAGGTGAAGAACTGGGAATCAGGGTGTCAAAAATTGCCTAAAAATCATCACCTGTTGAAT